TATACTACCGAACGGCTCGTGCACTTGCGAGTATCACAAGTTGAGGATGCAGCTGAATCCATTTTGGTGCAGCTGTATCTACACAACAAGGGCCATAACTTTCTATATGAAGGATATATTGTGTTTTTCTCAAAAACGAGGTTCATTTAGACATCTAGTTTATCAAAAATTCATTTGATATGCAATGGAAGACTTTAAAGAAAATTCTATAGCCTATAAACAAAACCTTTCAAAGGATCTTGAGGTTCAAAGACTTAATGTGCATTACAAAGTACCATACTTGAAATTAAAGAGAGAAAGGTAGATATAAACATATTTTAATTTGCATTACTCCACAAATAAAACATAGGAACATGAATAGAAATTGTTGTGTGATTACCATAACCAACATTTATGAACCCTATAGTTTATTACCTACGACAAACTATAGCAAAATGGGTACAATTCAAATCTAATGTAACAACTTCCATAAATAACACGTCCCCTTTTCATTTGATAACCACGATGTATAAGTTCAATTACTGCAACATGAAGGCACTTCTTACACTATGTGCTAGAAAGGTTCCTAGTACATTCCACAGTACCAAAAAGCCTTTCTCTTCTAACAATTTTACTGACCCTTGAGCTTTCAATGACCCATTAAAAGCTATAGAACTTAATCGAGTGAACAACTTACTAAGTTTCTTTTTAATCAACTTGGGACTATTTTAGCATTCAAAAACTACTTTTATTGCTTCATCCATTGTTGATTACTTGAGAGTATGAGTATGATTGCATACACATAAAATTCCTCCAAGTACATTCACAACACTTGGTTTCATTTGTCTAGCTTAATCATCATTTGTGATTAAGAAAGATGAATTTGTGAAACCACAACTCACTTTATACATCAAATTACGTGCAACTTGAGCTTGGTGTTCTTGTAAAGACTTGGAGAGGATTTGCTGCTAAGAGGTAAAGAAAATGCGCTTGCTGAAAGTTAGATTGTAGCTGCCTATAGGTGATAGTTTGAGCTAAATCTTTCTTGTACTTTTTAACTGAGTAGATTAGAACTCTCCTGATTTGGTGCCCCCACTTTTTCCCCTTGTAGGGTTTCTAGGTCAACAACTGTTGTACGTTATTTAGTTAATACTTTTGGTTGTTCTTTATTCACCACATCATTGTTTGTGTTTAGGTCTTAGACTATAGACTTTTAGAGCTAAGGGTCTGACCTCACAAACGTCAATAGAGATCAATAATGCTTCTTCGTTGGAGAGGCTAGAATGAGGAGGTTGAGTGAGGAGGTTATTTGAGGAGGTGAAATCTCACCATCAACAACTAAAAACAAAGTACATGGGGGGGTGCATTGGGGGGTCCACACCCCTTTTGATGGTGAGATGGGCCTCCTCAAATAGCCTCCTCACTATAAACCCTCATTATAGAAGCTCCCGCTTCTTCGTATGTAGGAGAAAAAAATCACTGGGCCTTACACTCTTCGTATGTAGGAGAAAACAATCAATGGGCCTTAGACTGATATTTCAAGAAGACCTCGTCTACAAGCCAAAACCCAAGTGGAACAAATAAAAAAGTAGTCCAAAAGCCCAAGTGAATATGTTGATGGATCAAGAGGATCAAAATGAACCCAATGCGAGGTATAATTCTGAGCCTTTAGTTAACCTCACATATTAAGTAATGGTGATTGGTGACTGGATTCCGGAGCAAATATACATGTTTGGACGATTTGTTTTTCGAAAGTATTAAAATTGACTGAAAGTTGATGTTGTCATTCGCATGAAAACTCAGGCAAATTTCAAGAAAGCTAACACAGTGGCTGGAGGGTGGCAGTCTAATCTGAATCTCATATTCACTTGTAGGACGTTGAATTATATGGCTTGTTTGTTCTCTTTACTACTTCAGTAGAACGTGTTAAAAGACAGAACAAGAAAAACCCGTAGTCTTCAACTAGTCTATGTATAAGAAGGGAAAAAAAACGAATTCTAAGGAAAATAAATTTTCAACTTGAAAATGAGCACTGGTTTTGCCTAATCTTTTCTTTCCAATTGATGCTTTAACGCCTTGATTCCTCATCGGAAACCTCGAGGTTGCAAACTGGGCATACCTAAACAAATACAATAAAAGGAAATGAGAGTGAGTTTGTGGCCGTCGAATTACAAAATGAACATAGCAACCTTCTGAATTCTGAAAGGCCAGATTTAAGGCATTAGCCAACCTTGTTGATACCGAGCCATTTGCTGATGCATTCACTATGGTAAACATGTTTGCATGGCAAGTTGATTTGTCGATCTCCTCTTTTATACCTCATCTGGCAAATCACACACCTGCTTTTCCAAAACTAGTGTTAATGGGCAGATGCCAAAAGCTTAAAAGAAAAAGATGTTTCCCATCTCTCTCTCTCCCTCTCAAGTTTTCTGAAACTGAAACTGCTAAAAGAAAAGGGAAAATATGTTCTTCCACATGTTTACCAATCAGCACTAGCTTTTCAATAACTTCTACTACACAAAGTGAACGACTTATCAAATTAAGGAGACCAATTGGGGCACAAACTTGTCCATTTTGTCACAGCAATTTTATGCCAATATTATTTTCTTTTTCTTTTTCTTTTTCTTTTTTGTGAAAACAGTGTTAAGGATAAGGTAAGAGGGTCCTTCTTTAGAGGTTGTTAAGACAACTCTTGACGAGAAATGACATTCCCAGTCACTATAGACTTCTAAAGTGCATTGTTAATGATGATGATGATGATGATGATAAGATAAATCAGCCTCTTTCACAAGTAGTCCTTCAAATACATAGAGTTCAAGCAGGAAAAATTGTCATTTTTGGTAAGGTAAGTTTTTATGACAAAATATCTGCGTTAGTACGACAAAATGATTTACCAATAGAACCCTACCAAATTTGTTGTAATTCCAGAGTGTCTAGAGAGGAAAAATGAAAAAGATAGATGCAATTGCGTTTACTTCTGAGATGAGGACAAGAAAGGCAATGAAAAGGTAAGGTCTGCATTTAGTTTTACTTTTGCAGGCAGATAAAAGTCTGCATTACTCAATTCTCCAAGAGTTAGAATGTTACCTCTCTCCAGATTTCTTTCTTGAGAAGAAGCTTCCACACTTGTATTTTGACGTTGGAAGCAAACTAATAAGTTCGTCAGAAAGACCTCGGCTTTGAATGCCAACTGCCTCACCCAAGTCAAGTAATTCCTGCAACCAACATAAAATAAAACATATCGATAACATTCATGTAAAGCTTGTAAAATCTATAGTCTGACTAGGCATGTCAGACCTATGGTTAAAAATAAATAAATAAAAGAGGTGGTAATATACAAGATACGCTTGAAGTTTATAAGGAACCTGCTTGTCTTTAGTACCCCCATTGATTTCGAACTTTCATTCATGAACCAGCGTTTTACTAAAACTTTTGGTAATTGAAATTCAGTCTATGTTTCCAAAAATAAACCCTCAAACCCGAATGTCACAAGAGGACAATGACAAACCTTGCCCCAAGTATATTAAGCTTCTATACAGAAAATGTAGGTGACTTCAATATGTCTCATACCCTTGCCAAGGTATACAGAAGTTTATCGAATATTGCAATAATTTTCTACGGTATGTATATCAAAATATCACCAGCCTTGGTATTGAGACATAAAAGATAACAACTCATTCACCTGTTTACGTTTATCATATTATACTAGTTTCTGAAGCCTCTAAAGTACCTACAGTTAAAATCTTGTTAATGCACAATATTTGTGGTTTGCGTACAATAAAAACAGTGTTCCCCTTGATTTCAGAATCTAAAGAATCATGAAAAGCCAGTTTTATGCACTAATAACTTGAAAGAAGCAGGCGAACAAAGTTTAGGGTGGGCATGAATGTGCAACTGCCCAGGTTTGTGTTAATGCTTACATTCCTGATGTAGACCAAAAAACAAAGGTAAAGAAGTTCTACTTCCAACAAGATATACTTCATCTGAAAAAAGCATGCCATAGCAACAATGGAGGATAGTGTGTATACATAACAAACCTCATAGGTCATGTTATCAGTATCAATATCCTCTTGCCATACGACCTGCATAAATGCAGAGAACAAAAGGCTGAATTTAACATAAAAATAGTGCAGGAATTCAAATTTGAAATACCTAGGTGCATTTATTCCAAAACAAATTAGTACTGGACTTGGTGCACAGTAAATATGCATAAAAACTGACCATATGTAATACAGCAGAAGGAAAACATGAAACTGCACAAACCACAAAGCAAGATCCATACCTGAGAAGTATTTGTATTTTGCTGATTCTGAATGCCTAAAAAGGAAAATAGATTTCTTTATGGTTAGAGATATAGTGTTCCAATGACTGGTCAAAAATTACTTCAGAAAACAAGAATGAAGTAAAGCTTCAATGAAAAGTAAAATGAAATAAGGACATTGAAGATCCATGTAGAAATAAATTGCAACAAAATGCACTTTTGGTTTTAACAGCTAGCGAAAACTGCCATGTGGAATATCAAGGAAAAATGGTCTTTGACAACTCCAATTGGCCAGTAGCATAATATTTGAGTCCATACAATAAGTGGGATACAAATAGGCAGAAGTAAGTTCTGACTAACATTCTTCAGGTACAGCTTCTGCGACTGCATCTTCTTCTTCTGGATGTGAATCAATGTTTGCAGGCTCTTCTGAATTCATCACTGAAGGGTGTTCCCAAGTCCTCCTGCTGACATCCATTCTGGGCAAATGATCATTTACCTCATAATAATTACCGTAATAAGAATTACTCCCCTGACCAGAGGGTCCAAATTTGTATGAATGCATATTCATTGACCAGTATGCAGTTTCCTGGACAGACAGAATATAAAAATAACACTTCAGCATAGCGAAAATTTCAGTTCATCAAAATTATACCGTATTTCCCTCAGAAAAATGATAAAACGATACGGTGACAACTTGAATACAACTCCTAGTGTTCTGTATGGTTCAGAAAATTTGTGTGAAAACTCAAAGTTGACAATCCAAATATACATAGAACAATAGTAATATGCGTCAGAACATATTATCTTCCCAGTTGTTTCAAAATTAATTGCCGTAGGAAACAACATCTTGCACTAGAAACTAAAGATCAAAATGCGAGCAGACTTGGCCTTGCTTCACAGTGATAATGATCATGACAACCTCATTAACTTGTGAGACAAACAAAAATTCCATGAATTCCATTAATGATCATTTTAGACTTCCCTTTTATCGAAAAGCAAACAATTTAATGCATGTAAAATAGAAAGGCTAAACAAATGCATCAAAGGAAACAAACTTCCCAAGTTCACAAGCAAGATGGATCTGAAACAACCTTACACTATCCAACCACTGCCAAAAGCATGAACAACCTAATGAGGCAGCAAACAACATGACATCACAGAATAACTTTCATAACAAAAGTACGGATCCAAAATGGATAAATCAAACATGCCTGATCATGCATCGTCATGGTGTGGCCATAGTCCATCGGTACATGGGTAACACCTCCAAAGAAGTCCATGAAGCTTTCAGTAGGCGTGTAAGGAAAGTCGGTGTCTATGTAATGCACATCCATTTGTCCATTCCCGTTCATTTTGGCACCACTAATTAAACTGAGATTCACATAACAAGCTACAAAACGGAAATGAAATCCTTCAGGACTTGCTCACCAAAAAAAAAAAATCCAAATTTAAAGAACAAGAGAAACTTTCACAATTTATTTATATTTGTGTTTGTATGTTGTATGTGTATAGTGTAGTATTATGCTCATGGACTGAGTTGTCTAACTACAAATTAATAAAAAAAATTAAAAAAAAAATCTTTTTTTCCAGCATTGGAAAATAAATGTGTGACAATGTTAAAACATATATTCTCGAAATTTGCCAAATTTAGGGCAAAACAAGCACATGCTCAGAAAGACAGAAGCAGAATTTAAAGCCCTGTTTCATCTCCTAATTTTGTATTCTTGTTTGGCTACCAATAAAATGCACGAAAATCAAAGAAATCAAAGCTTCCATACTTTGAAGAAGTAAAATTTTCCTTCTTTTTGTTTTGTTTTTCTCGGTAACCAAACGCACGAGAAGGCTTTGGTTAAGAAACGGTACCTCATTCAGCAGAAAACTCCCTTCTCATTTTGCAGCGAAACAAAAATCTGAGATAATCGCAGCAAACAAAAATGAGACTGAATCAGTATCTTAGAGAAGCCAGAGAAATTGCACTCATAAAGAAACAGAAGCAAAAAAAAGATAATGAACTCATCTTTAATTTGTTGAATTACACAATTAACAACAAAAAAACGAAATGCTTGAACTCGGAGAGAGAGAGAGAACATACATTGATGGGGTTGGTGTAGAGAGAGAGAGAGAGAGTAGAAATGGGGCTTTAAGTTTACACTTGCTTTGCATACACAAGAGACACACACAGAAGACTACTGTCTCTTTCTTCTCTCTCAGTGAGCGAGTCCCTGTGTCACTGTGTGTGATAGAGACTCTCTCTCTTTCTTCTCTCTCTCTCTAAAGTAGTTGTGTATTATCCGTATAGAGAGAGAGAAAGAGTGTGCGTTGGTTTGGTTGCGGTTGTTGCGTTTGGGTTTTATTTATTAATGTGCAATCTATTCTATAATCCATCCATCTTTTCTGTTTTATGCAGCAGAAGCCTATATGTACTTTGCAGAGCAGCTATAGATTATAGATTTTGAAATTTCATTTCACAAATAATACTTACTAATATTATATTGTCGCTGTTTTAGACGGCCATGGTCATGATGTCTGCCCATAGTTTTATTTTATGTGGTAATTATGATCACACTCAACAAAAACCACTTAACCGAGGTGAGTATTTACGTTTAATCAATCGAGAGATTAGAGATTCGAATGTGCAATCTATTCTATAATCCATCCATCTTTTCTGTTTTATGCAGCAGAAGCCTACATGTACTTTGCAGAGCAGCTATAGATTATAGATTTTGAAATTTCATTTCACAAATAATACTACTAATATTATATTGTCGCTGTTTTAGACGGCCATGGCCATGATGTCTGCCCATAGTTTTATTTTATGTGGTAATTATGATCACACTCAACAAAAACCACTTAACCGAGGTGAGTATTTCCGTTAATCAATCGAGAGACTAGAGATTCGAATTTGAGAATTCTTTCGGTATTTATAAGAGAAATACGAGTATACTAAGAATTAATTAGAAACCGATATAAGTTAATATATTTAAGCAAATTGACGGGGCCAACACATTTTTCCCCCTTAAGTTTTGCTTCATCTGACTTACATAAAAATGTCTCTGTGTGGAGATTTAACATAATTTACACGACAACAATACGCTTAAAAAATATCGTGTAGTTATATCCAGCTCAAAACTGTGCTGTAAAATCTTCGAGGTTTCTGATCCCTACAATTTGTTCACCTAAAAGCAAAAGTTGTCTGGTCGCTATTCCCCAAACAGCTTTAAAGTGGAAAACAGGATAAGCTTAATTAATAACAAAAGTACCCACAAATTGTAAACAAACTTTGGTCCCAACTACCCTCTGGTTTGAAGTACCAAATTTAATTTTCCATGTCCTTGTTTCTTTAAGACTCCCATAAATAAACTACGGTGCACGGTCAAAGTTAGGAAGGATAAATGTTTTGAATGTGTTGCTGTCTCTTTGGAGGGGGAAATGGAGCATAGTTTCAATTCATCTCTAAATTTTAATTTACGAGCTCGTTTAGAGAGTTATCGGAGAAGTTAATTTAAGAGTTCGTTGATACATAACTTTATTTATTTATTTATTTTATATATAAGTGATACTAAAAGAGGTGGAGTTTCTCACACACATATTGATCTGCAAATCAAGGTCATTTTTACTCGGTTAGACCCTATTGATCATTAAAATATTTCAAAAGTCTCTTGGGCAACTAGACTTTGAAATATTTTAGTCTTTCATTGGTAATCGCTGGGGATATATAATCTAAAAGGGTATATTTAAGTAAGGTCCACAAATTTAAATGCCAGCTTTGAACTTTTGAATGAGTCATTACAAAATTATGTAATTGATACACCAGGTTGATTCTCCCCAATATGGGTCCATTGAAAGCTTTGTTTGTACGCAATGCAAGGAAGATACAATAGAAAATGATCTTGACCCCTTGAGCCACTGGAGAGTTGTTGTTCTAGCATTTCTTTTTTCTGTTTCTGAAGATTTATAACATTTTAAAAAAAAATTGCAGAAAAATATTTTAACTTGGATTAAGTCAATACTTGAACCAATGAAAGAATCTTTGGGTATTTGATTCTCACTCCAAATATAAAAGAATGGATTGTCTTATACATGCATATATTTAGGCATAACCAGAAAGTGTTATCTAGAGAAGTGTTTGAGATTCTACTAATTTGTTTTAACTTTCCAACTGCTCTGATCGTACAACAAGTTGGTTGGTTCATCAACAATTTGAACAGCAAAAGTAAATATAAGTTGAGCGGCCTGATGTACTCTTGGAAGACTAATATTTTCAGACTGTGGAACTAGACCGCAAATTCAAATGAGAATCAGGTTTATGAGTGTTTTAGATTCATAGCTCGACAACACAAGCAACTTATGTTGCAAAGGCAGATTGACAAAACTTTCAATATTTATAAGAGAAATACGAGTATACTAAGAGATAATTAGAAACCGGCCTGAGTTAATATATTTAAGCAAATTGAGGGGCCCAACACATTTTTTCCCCTTAAGTTTTGCTCGATCTGACTTACATAAAAATGTCTCTTTGTGTGGAGATTTAACATAATTTACACGACAACAATGTGCTTGAAAAATATCATTTAGGTTATTGTTACATGAGTTTGAGATAAGTAGATTAAGTTCCACTTTCTTTGACCTTTTTATGAGTATGTATGGAGAAAATGTCATGTAAAGACTTGAACTCTAATTCTCTTTAAAATTGTGATGTTCATTATTAACACGTTACAAAGCTCAAAGCTCAAAATGGAAAATAAAATAAATAATATTTACCTCCTCATCAGTCACTCAAAAGAGCCGTTACTTGTGGACAAATTGATAGTTTCCAAGTTTATACTAGTTTGGATAGTGGGGAAAAGAAAACAAAGAAAGAAGAAAGTGTTTTTATCTTAGAAAATACCAAAAAGAAAAGAAAAGAAAAGAAAACCAGAGGTTGGCGTTGAGTGATTGACCAAGACAGGGAGGTAAAAAGCCGTTTTTACAGCCGGTGACATCTGTTTCTGTTGGGGCAGGCAGGGCAAGCCGCACTCACCAGAGGCAAACTTGTCTGTCTCTATTCAATCTTTGCCGTACAGCTCAGCTCAGATCAGCTCAAAACTGTGCTGTAAAATCTTCGAGGTTTCTGATCCCTACAATTTGTTCACCTAAAAGCAAAAGTTGTCTGGTCGCTATTCCCCAAACAGCTTTAAAGTGGAAAACAGGATAAGCTTAATTAATAACAAAAGTACCCACAAATTGTAAACAAACTTTGGTCCCAACTACCCTCTGGTTTGAAGTACCAAATTTAATTTCCCATGTCCTTGTTTCTTTAAGACTCCCATAAATAAACTACGGTGCACGGTCAAAGTTAGGAAGGATAAATGTTTTGAATGTGTTGCTGTCTCTTTGGAGGGGGAAATGGAGCATAGTTTCAATTCATCTCTAAATTTTAATTTACGAGCTCGTTTAGAGAGTTATCGGATAAGTTAATTTAAGAGTTCGTTGATACATATTGATCTGCAAGTAAAGGGCATTTTTACTCGGCTAGACCCTATTGACCATTAAAATATTTCAAAAGTCTCTTGGGCATCTAGACTTTGAAATATTTTAGTCTTTCATTGGTAATCGCTGGGGATATATAATCTAAAAGGGTATATTTAAGTAAGGTCCACAAGTTTAAATGCCAGCTTTGAACTTTTGAATGAGTCATTACAAAATTATGTAATTGATACACCAGGTTGATTCTCCCCAATATGGGTCCATTGAAAGCTTTGTTTGTACGCAATGCAAGGAAGATACAATAGAAAATGATCTTGACCCCTTGAGCCACTGGAGAGTTGTTGTTCTAGCATTTCTTTTTTCTGTTTCTGAAGATTTATAACATTTTAAAAAAAAATTGCAGAAAAATATTTTAACTTGGATTAAGTCAATACTTGAACCAATGAAAGAATCTTTGGGTATTTGATTCTCACTCCAAATATAAAAGAATGGATTGTCTTATACATGCATATATTTAGGCATAACCAGAAAGTGTTATCTAGAGAAGTGTTTGAGATTCTACTAATTTGTTTTAACTTTCCAACTGCTCTGATCGTACAACAAGTTGGTTGGTTCATCAACAATTTGAACAGCAAAAGTAAATATAAGTTGAGCGGCCTGATGTACTCTTGGAAGACTAATATTTTCAGACTGTGGAACTAGACCGCAAATTCAAATGAGAATCAGGTTTATGAGTGTTTTAGATTCATAGCTCGACAACACAAGCAACTTATGTTGCAAAGGCAGATTGACAAAAGAAAAAAAGAAAAAAAATCAGTTAGTGTCTGTTTGGCATTGCTTATTTGGGGTCATAATAAGTGATTATTTTGAAATTTTTGAAAGCATATATCGCAAAATCACTTTTGAGTCTTTAAGAAGAACTCAATTTTTTTCAATTAAAAAAATTATTATTTTCTATATAAGTGATATTGAGAGAGAGGGACTCGAAGACATACAAAGGTAACTACTCTTTACCACTTTTAAGCTACAAATCCCTTGCAAAAGGACTCGTTCTTGAACCGGCTCATGCATTTATTAGGTTGTGGGTGATGAACTTAAGCATTCAATGCTAACCCACCAACCTATGGTTCCATTTTCAATCAAATTTGTGCGGTTAAATTTTAAAATTTGGAACCCACATGCCACAAGAAGAATGTGACATTCAACTTTCTCTCTTTCTGTCGTTCACCCAATAGAAACATTCATAAAATCCAGCAGTTCTTGGGACCGCAGGGACATACTGGAACAATATTTATAACATAATAAAAAAAGGAACCCAGAGACAGATAAAAAGAAGAGAAACCGCTGTTCATCAATATTATATTAATTTCGTAAAATAAATATGTTGGTTAATCTGGTTCATAAAGCTCATTCAATGTTAGAAGTTCAATGGGATGATGGGGAGGGACCATACTAGCACTTGCACCACAAGCAAGGAATTCACGGGGCTTCCAAAAGCTGGTCAAAATTATACAGAAAAGGGATTTGAGGCATCTAATGCAAGACAGTGTTTTATGAAACACAACAGTTATTCCAAAGGGTCGATGTCGATGACTCAACTCCATTACTTAAAGTTAGTTGGGTTTTTTTATTTATTTAATTTTTTTTTATAACAGCTTGGTTTGTTTTATACCATCATTTGCTGCTAAGGATTGGTTTAGATTGGATAACCAACTAGATTCTAGGTATGTTGAGGGAAAAATTGGAGGTCTAACTTCCAAATTTGGTCTAAGTTGTAGAAGATGGATTAATCGCATTTTTTTAAATGCAAACGATATTGAGAGAGAGGGAAACGAACTTAGGACATCGGATGCATGAGTAAATGCTCTTAACCATTTGAATTACAAGTCTCTTGCAGAAGA